GTCATCAGGCCTGGTGACAAGTGCTTTTATCTGTTGAGCCATCTTGCCAACCTGATGTTTTATCTTTTATTTTTGAGACGGGTTCTCATGTAGCCCAGGATGACCTCCAATTCACTGAAGATGGCCTTTAGTTTCTGGTCCTCCTGCTCTTCCTCTCATGTGCGGGGATCACAGGGGTTGTGTGTTGCTAGGGAGCAAACCCAGGGTTTTGTGCATGCTATGAACACTTTATGAACTGAGCTACATCCCTAGCCTGAGGTCAAGGGACAGCTTCGTGGAGTTGGGTCTCCCCTTCCACCGTGTGGGTCTTGAAGACTGAATTCAGGTTATCAGGATTGGCAACCAGTGCCTCTAACCACTGAGCGGTCTTGCACACCTATCCCTATCCATCTCTTGAAGATCATCATCTTGAATAGAAACTTTATATCCATTAAACTGTACTTTATTTAAGGGGAATAATAGCATATCTGTTTTTTTGCAACTGGCTTATTTTGCTTAGCTCAAGTCCTCAAGATTCATCCACGCTGAAGCAGCTGCCAAGATCTCCCTCCCTCTATTAAGGCTATAATTCTGTTACATGTGGATGCCATTTATTATTGCTGCTGCTGTTTATCCATTCGTCTGTCAGTTGACAAGTTGAGTTGCTTCTAAGTTTTGGTGGATAATGGTGCTATGGACACAGGTCCATACATACCTACCTGTTCAGAAAGGAGTGTACTATGGTCGTCTTACTTGTGCGCTTCTTGGCAAGTCCTAGACCCGTGGCAACTTCTGTAACTCAGATATTTGATTCATTACCTGACTCCATTCCACCATGGGTAAGGACTTTTCCTGGGTTGCTGTGTGCGGCAGATGCACAATATAGGACATCATAGGAGTTCTGTTGTCATCTTAGGAAAGGTGATGGGGGCCACTGTGTGTGGACTGCAGCAGCCCAGTGCGTTCATGTGGACAGTCAGATTTTTGTTTGGAGATCCCACCCAGCCCCACCTCCACCCTCACCCCTTCACTGTTCTAGCCATTAGGCTGGGAGGCTTTTCCAAAAAGGTATGAACATGAGGAACATTTGCTCTGAATTAAACTTGGCTGCAGTTAAAGTGTTATCGCATACACGGAGCTCAAATTACAGGGGTTGCCTTTAGCCAGTGAATAGCGCGGGGAGGTTGCTCAGAGAGGTGGAAAATTCTGAGGCCCCCTCCAGCACGATTGCAAGAAAAATGCTCTGAGTGGTGTGGAGAGGGGCCAGCTGGTGATGTCAAGGGATTTATAAAAGAGATTACAGGACCTTTTAAGGGAATGAGGCGGCTGCTAATGATGGAAAACCGCTAAGGCTGAATCTGAGCGCCTGCCTCGTTGGCTGAGGTGCCTGTAACTGTGGAAAAACATATCGTGCCACCCCCTTTGTGTGAAGTTCAAAGGACAGCAGCTGAGGGTGGAGAGCAGAACCTGTTTCTGAGGAACCACTGGGGGCTCTCAGAACACATGGAGCCAGAAGTGTGGCCCTGGCCCTGCAAGTGGGAACACACCTGGTCGTACTTCCTTTCGTGGTTGCTTTTACGTTTTATTATTTCTTACCTTGCCAGGGATGGAATCCATGGAGTTGCTTATGCTAGGCAAGTTCTCTAGCATCGAACTGTGCTACGGGTGCCTTCTTTTTTTCTTTATATCATTCTCATGTGTGTGTCTGAGGTGGTCTGGAAAAAGCCTGTTTGTTTAGTTATTTTTTTTTTTTTTTTGTGGTGCCCAGAATCAAATTCAGGATCATGCGCATGTCAAGCAAGTACTATACCACCCAACTCCTTTACTTATTCGTCTATTGAAAACTTTATTATTGTTGTGTATGCGTGTCTAGGCGGAGGGGGCAAGTGGGTGGAGGTCAAAAGACAACTTTGTGGCATTGGTTTTCTCCCTCTACCTTTACATAGACTCTGGGGACCAAGTTCAGGTCATTGCGCTGGAGTAGCAAGTCCTTTACCTGCTGAGCTGTCTCACGGGCCCTCTTTATCTGTGAAAACAGCAGAAACAACAAACACAGCTTTAAACTGTCTAAAAGCTTTGTACCCCCAAAGAGAGCTCTTCAAATAAAATATCATGGGCTATATTAATATCGCATTCCCAATTGTCCCTATGGTCTTTTTACAACCCTTGCATCTTATCTTAAGAATGTGGGTCTTTATGAAGAGGAACCAAGATCCGTTACAAGGCCATAGATTTAGTCAAACAGACAAGCCCTGATTTTCTAAATTTAACAGCTGGCTCTTTTTGTGTTTTAAATAGATAGTTAGCCGGGCGGTGGTGGCGCACGCCTTTAATCCCAGCACTCGGGAGGCAGAGCCAGGCGGATCTCTGTGAGTTCGAGGCCAGCCTGGTCTCCAAAGCGAGTTCCAGGAAAGGCGCAAAGCTACACAGAGAAACCCTGTCTCGAAAAACCAAAAAAAAAAAAAAAAAAAAAAAAAAAAAAAAAAAAAAAAAAAAAAAATAGATAGTTAATGAAAATAGTCCTGGATTTAGGAACAGAACTTGTGAAATTTAGAGGGCTTAAAGGTAGAGGGGGGCCTTAATATCAATGTTTAGTAGAGGAGCTAAACAAGAAACTTCAGTGTGTAGGGGTGTGTGTGTGTGTGTGTGTGTGTGTGTGTGTGTGTGTGTGTGTGTTTGGTTTGTGTGAGAGAAAGGGAGAGGGAGAAGGAGGAAGAGAGAATCAGCACCCTGGGTCCCAGCTCGGTTCAGACACTTCTCATAAAGTACAGTCATCAAACCAAGTACTGAAGTTCTCCCCCTTGCTGTCTCCAGCAGCGACCAGCTTTATCGCCAGTGGCTCCCAGGAGAACCTCCTTCCTGTGGGTTTATCTTCCCACAGTCCCCTAAGGACACTTTGCAGATTAAATGTCTCCGAAGACCCTGTCTCCACGTCTGCTCGTCTGCTGCGTTATCAAACTCCTCTCCCCCTTTCAAACACAACTCAAGCCAGACCTGTTCTTTGAACTTTGCCTGATCATGGGGCCCCAATGATTTTCTCTTCACGCTTTGTAGAAATGTCGCCTCCCACTTTTAGGCTTGGACTACAAGCTATCTTCTGAGCTTCAAAGCCTCTTTCCTCAAAGGTGCAACACTATCTCAAATCCACTGTTGGAAAAATCTTACAGCAGGAACACTTGATAAAAGTGATGTTACTGTTATTGATCACAAGCTAGTGAATCAATAAATATTTCTTGCCTGAAATACTGAATAGGACCAAGAAACACAATTATTAAATTTAATGTGAGAATTGAACTTGTGAGTTAGAAAAGCACGGGATGATTTTGCTATCTATGGGAGATTTGAACGAAGAAGGGAATTCTAAACATGCCAAGAACCTAACTTCATTCCTTAACTCAAAAGTCTTATCCCTTTTCTCAGCTGTTCTAATTCCTTACCTCTGTTAGGCAGCTGGCCTCAAACTTTGGGACTTAAGGAGTCCTCTTTCTGGAGCCTCTTGAGTCACTGAGACCACAGATGTGCACCATGGGGCCCAGGGGCAATCACCTTTGATACACAGCACTTGCGCCACACCTTTCTGCTTCAGGGATGTGTGTGGGAAGGCACTGCAGGAGGAAGATGCTCCAGCCAGGCCTGTTCCCCACGCTTCCACTCTGCTTACCTGCCCTCTTCTTACTTGGCTGTTGGGGAAAGCTTAGTGTCCCAAAGGCATTCCCATCAGGAAGTGGATTTGACAGGCTATTTGGTTTATAAAAACAGACTATGTATGTACTTTTTAAAGGAGACTTACTTTAGAACTACTGGTGGTGTGGTGTTGCAGGTAGAATACATGGGTCTCCAATATAATATGTTATAACCAATTACTATGTTCTTGTAAACCAAAAATGAAGCGATACCTCTTAAGATAAATTCTTTTCTTTTCTTTCTTTCTTTCTTTTTTTTTTTTTCAGACAGGGTCTCTGCCAAGTAGCCCCAGCTGGCCTTGAACTTGTACTAACCTTGCTAACTCATTCTCTCCAGTGCTGAGGTTACAGGCATGAGTCATTATGCCTGGACATTTGTTTTATGCTTCTTGAGACAAGGCCTTGCCATGTAGTCCATGGTGGCTTCGCATTCTCAGTAACTGTCCTGACAGGTATGTGCTCCACCATACCCAAGAGGGCGATTGTGTTTACTGGGGAAGCATCTCACATAGCAAAGACCATCATAGACCAAACTTGGACTGGAAAGGGTTAGTAAGGCAGTGTTTCACTATGTCGTCCTGGCTGGCCTGAAACTCACTATGTGTAGACCAGGTTAGCCTTGAACTCACAGAGATGTTTGCTTTTCTCTCCCAGGTGTTGGGATTAAAGGCATGCACCACCATACCTGGCTGAGTATGGGATTTTTTTTTCTTCCCCAAAGGGAAATGACTTAGTATCTTTTTAAATAAAGATTTATTTTTTATACTTATATAATTTTATAACAGCATCATGTAGTATGTATACATAGCATGCCTGGTGCCCTTGAAGGTCAGAAAAGTGTGTCAGATCCCCTGAAACTGGAGTTACAGGCAGTTGTGAGCTGCCATGTGGGTCCTCTGCAAGAGCAATAAGCACTCCTAACCACTGAGCCATCTATCCAGCCCCAATAACTTAATATCTTTATTGCCATCCTTTAAGATGGGTTAATGATTTCTAGCTCTAGTTCCCCACAAACACTGTCAGGTAAAAATGGTACTGTGGATGTGGATACGGTAATACCTACCTGGAATGTCACTCAGGAAGCTGAAGCAGGGGAGGTGCTTAAGTCCAGGAGTTCAAGGTAAACCAGAGGAATATAGTGAGATCCTGTTTCAATATGAAACGGTACTGTGAAAAGTAATTTGAGCTTTTTGAGGCAAAGTATTACCCATTGGTGGGAAATAATGTGCTGTCAGTATTTGATATTTTATTTATATAATGATTTTTTTTGGGGGGGTCTATCAATCTGTGTGTGTATCAATTAATTTTCTGCTGCTACAATTAAACATCATGACCATAGACAACTCATAGAAGAGTTTATTTGGGCTTATGGTTCCAGAGGGATACGAGTCCATTATGGTGGAGGCATGGCAGCATGTAGCAGGAGCCAGACACTGAGAGAACACATCCTCAGCCACTAACATGACAGAGAGAGTGAGCTGAAGTGGCACAAGGCTGTTGAACTCTCCAAGTCCACCCCAGTGACTACTTGTTCCAGCAGGCCTCTACCTTCCAAAGAAGATTCCATAATCTCCCCAAGCAGCAACACCAACAGGGGACTGGGTGCTTGAATCTGTGAGCCTAGGGGGGCATTTCTCACTCAAACTCCCACATAGGGTCTCACTCTAGTCCAGGATGGACTAGAATTCATGGCAACCCTCCTGCCTTAACATTCCAAGTACTGGGATTACAGGCTTGATCCACCACACCTCACTGCTAATTAGAATATTTTAAGCTTTTGCTGTGCTTTATAAATTCTAAAATTAAGTCTTTTTCGGTTAAAAAAAAATCAAGCTAGAATTTGCGAAGGCATCTCATAGATGTTTTCTCTGGGCTTCATTTACCCATGATCATCACAAAGTAGAGCAGCTATGACGACCTACAGGAGCTGTGGCAGCCATCACAGGAACAGAAGAGAACTAAACAGCAGAGAAATGAGTGTGTTAACATTTCCTCTTGGAGAAGGGGAGGGAGAGCCACAGACGCCCCCTAGGACTCTCTTTTGATGTTATAACTACCACTGTCTACTGCTCCAGTACATGGAACCGAGAAATGCTCAAGTGTCTAAGAGTAGGAAATTGACTGAGGTGGGTTCCAATAAACTGACCCCGAGGAATCTTTTTATCTGTGAGTTTCTCCCTACTTTTGGTGAATAGACATATCGCTTACATGTCCAGGAGAGTCATGACATGCAGCGAAGCCCCAGTGTGATTGGTGTATGTTTTGACATGGGCTCTTTTGTTCTGTGGCCATGAGTTCATGTCACCTCTTCCATGGCAGAACATGCCACTTGAGGTGACTTCCGTTCACATTCCTTGGCCTTCGTCACTCCTGTTTCGCTCAGAGGAAGCTGTTTTCCGATTTTAGGATGCAGTCCGAGTGATCCAGCAGTGGCTGCCTCACACTGGAGGTGACGAGAGTTGGTAGTTGTTCAGTCTGTAAGACTTGATCCCAGTCTGACGCTGGAGGTCTAGAGAGTTGCCAGGCTTCAGCCTCTGTTGGAATCCTGAAGACTTGGTTCTAACATTGATGAAAGAAGGAGCAGCAGCAGCAGGACAGCTGAACTTGGCCTGCAAAAGCAAAGGTAAACAAGCAAAAAGTTTCATGCTTCTGTGTCCTCTTATCTGGGCTGCCGTCAGAAGGTGTAGCCCAGGTTTTTGTTTTTGTTTTTGTTTTTTTTTTTTTTCAGCCCAATTTTAAAGTGGGTCGTCTTGCTTCAAATAATCTGATCAAGAGGATCCCTCCATAGAATGGTACACAGAAGCTTGGGTTTGGTTGAGTCCACATGCAGTCAAGGTGACAGCCAAGCTTAGCCATCATAGAGTAACTGGGGAGTATTTAGCAGGCTAGCACATTTTTAATTTTTGTTAGCTAATGTTCATGTGAGGATTCCCGGGACTTACTGCTTTTCCATCAATACAAAGGATTTCCTTTTCTCGGCCTCAGCTTCCTCATCTGTCAAATGAAGATTTGTTTGTAGCTCCTGTGGTCAAGTAAGACTTCATTAGCACGTCAGAGCAAAGCTTATCTAATTATTTTTGTAGTGCTGGGGATTGAACCTAAGCTATAGCCCAAGAAAGTAGGAATTTATGAGCATTTTTTTTGAATTCAGAATATGTTATAAAATAAAACAAAAATAGATTTCTGTTGATTCTAAACTCATTTATCACTGTGTGATGAAAAGATTACTGAAGATCACTGAGTTGCTACACAGGTGTCCTACCACTGAACTATAATCCTAGCTCTTAAAATGAATGGTTTTTCAGGAAGGGTCTGGCCTTGAACTCATGGAGACTCACCTGCCTCTGCCTCTTTTTTTTTTGGTTTTTCGAGATAGGGTTTCTCTGTGTAGCTTTGCGCCTTTCCTGGAACTCACTTGGTAGCCCAGGCTGGCCTTGAACTCACAGAGATCCGCCTGCCTCTGCCTCCTGAGTGCTGGGATTAAAGGCGTGCGCCACCACCGCCCGGCCACCTCTGCCTCTTGAGTGAGATTAAAGTTGTGCACCTCTATACCCAGCCTGATTTTGAATTTTAAATTTTTTATTTATTTTTATGTGTGTGGATACTTTGCCTGCATGTATGTCTGAGAATCACTTTCATGCCTGATGTGCACCAAGGCCAGAAAAGGGCACCAGATCCCCTAGAACTAGAGTTAAGAGGTGGTTGTGAGCCACCATGTCGGAATTGGGAATGGAGCCCAGGTCTTCTGGAAGAGCAGAAAGTGTTCTTACCTATTGAGTCATCTTTATAACCTCCTATTTTTATTTAATTATTTTTGAGCCAGGGTCTTGCAACATAGCCCAGGTTAGCCTTGACCTCTTGACCCCTCTGCCTCAGCTTCCTAGCCTCCTATGTACTAGAATTACTGGACTGTGCCACCACACAGACTCTAGAATTAATTTTTAAACAAAATTAGGGGCCTGGAGTGATGGTTCAAAGGTTCAAAGCAATGGCTGTTCTTCCAGGGGGCCCAGATTTTGTTCCTAGCACCCACATGGAGGTTCACACTGTCAGTAACTCCAGCTCCAGGACAGTGTGGTGTACCTGTCTTACCTTCAGTCAAGACATTCATATACATAAAAATGAATAAATCTTAAATAACTGAACAAAGTTAACATAGGAAGCGTTTTATGAATAAGCAATTTCTATTTAAATGAAATGTAATTCAGATTGAGTTTTATTATGCAATGATTAAGGAATAGGGACATTGACTGGAGATGTAGCTTAGGGGTATAGCACTTGTCTAATGGGCACAGGGCCTTGGATTCAGTTCCCTCACACTGAAAATACATTTTTTGCTTCTTGCAAATACATGGATAATACTAATACAAGGGATTTCCATGTGGTGATCCACACTTGCAACCTCAGCATTTGGTGAGGCTTGAGGCAGGAGAATCACGGGTTCCATGCCAGTCTGGGTTACGCAGCAAGTGCTTGCTTCCAAAACTAAAATAAGATGGGCCTTGTGTCACAGGTCTGAAACTGCAGCCATTTGGGAGACTGACGCAGGGGTATCCAATGCTCAAGGCCTGTCTGGGCTACTGAGTGAGAGCCCATCTCAAAATAAAAACTTAAAAACTCAAACCAAACCAAAATATATAGAGTAAGAGAAATCAAGCTTTTATTTGCTTTTTTTTAATTAAATGGACTTGGAAATTCTGAGATAACATTCAGTGGTATTTAAATGTGTAAAAAAAAAAGGCCGATATCACTTTAAAAATACTAAAAAAGGAAATTACTGTGGATGTCCATTGTTTTCTGAAAGAAGGCTGTTTGCATGCCTGTCTGGTGCTGACGTGATAGAAGTCAAAGGCCAAATCAGAATAGGCTCTCCTTTTTGGAACATTCCATCTCAGTGAAACAGAATGACTATAGGCTAGCAACAATACACACCGAACAGGCCGTCAACCTCGAATTTCACATGTGCCGTGTTTACAAACAGAAGCGTGGCAGGGCTGCTCCACCTTTTGAAACAGGTTTGACTCAGATGGGATTTGCGTGTGTGACTGTGCTTCAGCTTTTTCCTGCAATCTGCTGTTTTAAGGCTGACGTGTATATCATATGGGGCAATGATAAGATGCGAAGAACAGTGTGCGCTGCACCAGCCTCCTAAATAATTACTGGGTGCCTTCTACGTAGCACTTTCTATGTTGGGCCCTGACAGACCTTTGAGGCCCCCTGTCTTTTTGGTGTCATGTCTCAGTGTGACACAGTGTGTTACTGTCTTAGTTACGAAATTCTGGTAAGTTCATCAGTCCAGTGGGATTCAAGCTAATCTAGAAAAAAGGCCTCCTAGAGTCAGGGGACATTATTAATTTGGGAGAGAATATGTAATGTCAATAGTTATTTAGCATCTTGCCTTTCAGTTGTTGAGTTACTGTGCCAGGTTTTACAAAGTGCATTTCTGATGCATATTAAAACCACTGACATTCAAAGAGTCCAACACTCCTGATTAGAGCTTTCGGGCTTGTATTTATAAAAAGGTTACCGGTGCATTTCCTCCGTGCAAATTATTTTTGGCTCTTACCAATCTTTACGAATATAATAAAGTCTGTGCCGCATAATGTATGTGATTAATTTGTCCTAGTCACTGGCTTGCTTTTACTTAGGGAGATATCCCAGAAAGATGGTATCTCTTCACGGGAATTTGTGCAGACAGGGAACGGGAGTGTACAGCAAAGGGCAGCTGTACTTTTCACCCTAGGAGACAAGATAAGAAATATCATCAGGGCAATAATGTATTCACTTGCATAAATTTATCACGAAGATGACACAGAGTGGTTTCTTCGGGGGTAGTTCACGCAGATGTCAAGGGTTGCCTATGCGACAAGATAAGAATGGTTAGGGTGGATGTGTCCACAGAGCATTCGAGGCAGGGTTATTCTGGGCCTGGTGATGCTGGCCTGTAATCCCAGCCACTGGTGAGGATGAGGCAGGAGGATTGCAGGTTCAGGGCAAGCTTGGACTATTCAGTGAGACTGTTTTAAAACAAAAAGTAAAGGGTGGGCTCGGTGGTAGACTCCCTAGTACTGGGAGAATACAACCCAAACCTAAACTAAGACAAAACCAAACAAAAGAGATGTATTTGTTACTTTTCTTGTTGCTGTGATCGACTGTCTGAAAAAGCACTACCTAAGGGAGGAGGGATTTATTTGGCTTCAGTATTCCAGCATACATAGTCTGTCATGGTGGGGAAGGCATGCTGACAGGAGCGTGAGGTAACTGGTCACATTGCAACCACAGTCAGGAAGCAGAGAGAGATGAATTCTGGTCCCAGCTCCCTTTCTCCTTTTTATACAGTTCTGGACCCTAGCCCATGGGATGGTGCCACCCACCCCTAGGGTGGGTCTTCTCATCCCAGTTACCCAGTGTGGAGCCTCCCTCACAGACATGACAGAGGGCTGTCTCCCAGAAGATTCTAGATCTCGTTGAGCTGACGACGTTAGCAATCAGAACATGTTTGTATAACGAACATGGATCATTTTCATCTCAGCCATCTTAGCTTTGACACTAGCTCAGCTGGTTACCGTTGGGGAGTCTGGTGCTATGAAGAGGTCCATTGCAGCTACTATGTACCTGTACATTGTGTGACAAACTTTTCCTGGGGAGATACAGCAAACACATCTATTTACCCTAGATAGGAAACTCACTACAGACCAATGTATAGATACCACCGAAGTCCAAGTTGGTTGAACCAATGGCTTTTACTGGGGTTATTTACAGGAATATGGGTGAGGTTACTTACAGGAGCAGAAATGACTCAAAGACAGCTACATCACCAAGTTCCACCCCAGGATGGGTGACCGCTCACAAAAGCTAGGAACCTGGAGCACACTGCACAGCCTGCAGGCAGCTCGACAGGTTGGAGAGTGTGCTTTCTGAGCGGCTCTGATCTAAACTTCTTCCAGACTGTTGGGCTGGTTTCTGCTTTTTCCAGGCATCTGGTCTGGTCTCAGAGTCTTCTTTGCAGCTCAGCTTCACATTATCTGAGACTCACAGCTTTTATTGCTTACTCTGCCAGGGAGGGGCCTAGTGGATCTGGCCAGTTTCAGGGACTTCCTGAAGCTAATTTGAGTTGTTTGCTTTTCCTGCTTAAGGAGCCTCCCTGTAGGGTGGAATGTTTCAATCTCAGAGGAAACTGTTACACAACACTATCGATGACGTGTTTTTGACACACAGTGAATATTTGGTCTCTAAATCCTCCTATGGCTGCTTCATTTGCTCATTATTAAGAAACCTCACAGAATTTTGGCAACCCTTTTTTTTTTTTTTTAAATCAATACTCAGTTATAGAAGTTTAAGGGCATAAGAACACCCTGGAATCTCTTGTTCCTAGTGTTCCCATTTCCGCCTACTTCTAAAAGGCTGACGACTCTTAAATATTTAAATTCTTCTCAAAGACACCCTGCTGTGCCCCCAAATGCAAGCCACACACCCAAAGGGACAAAAAAGCACTGGGGACAGTGCCTCTATTTGAATTTCGCCTTGATTCTTAAGAGAAGCAGGAATCTTGGAATTAAGGCAGTCCAGATCAAGGGTATCTGGGACAGAGCTTGGGCCTTCTTGGGAAAACAGAACAACAAAAAGCAATAAACACCACTCCTCTCCCGCTCCCCAAACGAAACAAAACAAAACAAACAAACAAATGCGAGGCGATACTGCTTCGCCGCTACCAGCAGAACAGACTGCGCCTGGGTCGCTGCGGTCCTAGGTCGCCCCGATCGTACGGTGAGGCCGCCGGGGCGAAGTTCCCAGGTCCCGGCTAGGCGCTGCGGGGACTTTCACCTGCTGGGCGCGCGCGGGGCGCGGGGCGGACCCGGCGGCGGCGGGCGGGGCTCTGGCGCGCGGGAGGAGTCGGTCCGGGCCCGCCCCGCAGGAGGAGCCGCGGGCTGGCAGCCGATCCGGCGTCTCCGTGACAGGCACCCTGCTCCGCCGCCGCCGCCGCCGCCTTTCTTCCTCGTCCCGGGCTGTGCGCGCCGAGCTCGGGATCGGGCTCCGGGTCTAGCCCCGCTACGGGCCGTGCGCCCTTCGCTCGGCGTCCCGGTCTGGGGCTCCGTGCCACCCGCTCCCGCCTCCCGGCCGCCCGGCCGCCTCCCGGTTAGCCAGACCTCGGCCACCGAGCTGCTCACACCAGCCGCATCCGCGCCGCCCTTGCCGCTCGGCCCTCTGCTCCGCTCCGGGTTGCCCCCCTCCCCGCCACTGCCTGGCACCCAGGCTGCCCACTGCACGACCCGGGTCCCCGCCGCCGCCTCGCCTGGCCCCACGGTTCCCTCCCCGGGGTCTCGCCAGCTCTTTCTTGCCGCCGCCACCGCCACCGCCGCCCCTGGAGCAGCGGGTCCACCGCGGGTCACCATGCCCAGCAAAACCAAGTACAACCTTGTGGACGATGGACACGACCTGCGGATCCCTTTGCATAACGAGGACGCCTTCCAGCATGGCATCTCTTTTGAGGCCAAGGTGAGAGGCCACCGGGAGGGAAGTACCCGAGGGGGCAGGTCTGGGTGGATGGGATGCCAGCTGTCCTGGACGCAGAGCAGGTGGGTTAGGCCTTTCTCAGCTCCTGCCCAGAACAGCTAAAAAGAGCACCTGCAAAGTTTGAGGTGCCCTGCCTCACCCCCTTCTCCCACCTGCAGACACCCATCCTTGCCCGCCAAGGCTGGATTGAGTTACTTCCCGGAGAAGCCAGAGCAGCGCAGCCTGGACGCCAGGTTCTTTTGAAAGCTTTGAAGGAAGCGCTGGTGTTATTTACCTGCTGGGCTTCCACGGGAGGTGCTTTGGGGAGGTGTTTTAAAAGCCTGTTTCCTGACCAGTTTAAAATTTTTTTTTTTTAATTCCAAGTAGCTGGATCTAGTTGCTAAAGTCACTCCCCAAATGTTTGCTTTCGCACGGCTCTTTTGCATGTGCCAGTCATTGGTGTAGTGGTCAGGTGAAAGCCGTTTTCCAGTTTTGTGGTGCGCTGTTAAATCTCAGCAGTTGCTGATGAAGAATTTAGCCGAGACGGCTGGAATTTGCAGGGCCAAGGCCAAAGCCACCCTTGGGGGAGGGGTGGAGTGGAAACGTGCGTGCTGGACCAGCGGCTGTGTCTAAGGCTGGCCACGCTGAAGTGAATGGTGAAGCACCTCGCTGTGTGAGGAGTTCTGGCTTCTGAAACTGCAGTTGGAGTTTCCACGGTGCCCGGGAACCGTGCCTTTCTGTGCAAAGGCTTCTTCTCTTAATTGTGCTCCCATTTCCCCTACCTATAACCCAAAGAAAGACGCAGGGATATTCAGCATGCACAGTGTGCTTGTCACCGAGTGAAATTTAGGTGAGCTCTGTATAGACTGGGTGTGGATGGTTTTGAGAAGAGAACTTTTGACGCGGGGGCAAACTTGCTCCAATCTCTCTTCTTCCGCGACCACGGGTTAGTATATTGTGCAAGAACTGCCATCAGGTGTCCATTTCCTTCAATTTGCAAAACATCTTTGGAGTGTCAGTTAGGTGCCCAGAGGTCACTTGTGTTTAGAATTACATCCCTTTTCTCATGCAGATGTATGAATTGGTGAATCATACCCCCCCCCCCCCCAACAACTTTTCTCAGTCATATTTGCTAGAACTAGAGGTACCACTCCTTCACCCCGCAGTTATCAAGCTCTGCCTTGGAATGCAGAGCTGGGTTGCTGAGTATGGCTGGGACCAGAGGGGAGCTGTCAGCCAAGATCATATCTCACTTCTCTATCTCAGAATAGATCTGGTTGGCCCAAGACATTCGATGTTTGGGTTCATGTGTGTCTGGGCCTGTGGATTTGGTAAGCAGTTTCTTAAAAGTATAACTTTTCATTATGGTTATGATTTAATTTTCTTGCACACACACACACACACACACACACACACACACACACACACTGAGAAATTGACTTTTGTCTTATTTGGTTCCCCAGTGCTATATTTTTAAAAATTATTTTTAATTATGTGTCTGTATGTGGTTATGTGCATGTGAATGAAGGTATTCCCCGGAGTCCAGAGGCATTGGATCTCCCTGGAGCCCGAGTGACATATACTTCTGAGTTGCTTGATGTGGGTTCTGGGAACTGAACTCTGGACCTCTGCAAGAGCAGTGTGATGGGGCTCTGCAGCCCCATGGGGTGCTAGTTTTTAAAGAACTAAGATAAAAAAAACTAATCAGATTAATTTTTTTTTTATTCTCACAGTCCTCTGCATTTGGTCACAGCTAGGTGTCAAAAACTGTGTGTACATACAAATTTCAAGAAAAGTCCAATTCTTATTATAATCTCCTGCAGTTGGAATGCTGAGGCAGAGGGATTGCCACAAGTTAGTGGCTTTCCTGGGCCACATAGTCCTATCAGAGAAAACCAACCAACCAACCAACCAACCAACCAACCAACCAAATAAAACCAAATAGTCTATCTCTTCTAGCTCGATGTATTTAGGGGACATTGAGTGTCTGGGTGACCTAATGAAGTAATTGCAACCAGACCTTAAGAAATACTGGGCTTGAGGCTTGCCTTCAACTTTCTGGATCCCACTTTTTTTTTTTTTTCCTCTAGTACTAAACATGCAGTTTCTTTTCTGAGCAAATGTCTGGGGGCTGCATAGTGTAGTTTCTATAGTAACTCTGAATTCACAGATAGTGGTGGTCAATAAGAGGAGGAGCCATGGCTGGTTATGTTCCCAATGCAGACAACACAGGGGGCCGGGGGTTCAGCATTGAGAAGGGTGAGGTGGAGAGAAAGGACGAGGGCAGGTGGGGCGTCCAGAGGCAAAGGCTGAGTTCATGGACTGGGTCCTGCCTCCTAGCTCTTTGTAGTTGATGCTAGACTCTGGCGTATTCAAGTACCATGTCAGCCAAGACCTGCGCAGGGCTGGGAGCAGAAGACCATCTCTCTGTCCCCCCTGTGCTCCCCAGTAAGTGCCTTCTGCAGCTACGTCCACCTCTCTATTGAGCAGTGTCTGTCCCTAGAAATGTGCCATCATGGGGATTTCAGGGTTAAAGCCACTGGGCATTTGCTCCTTGTTTTGGAAAAGCACAGACTGTAAAATACAAATGCATTGTTGCCTTGTTAGGTACCTTGGAAAATGAGTCCGAGACTTCCTCTTCCAAGGGTTGGCAATTTTTCAGAATCAGCACTGGATGGAGTGATTCTCTGGATGTATGCCTCTCATTTTTTTTTTTTCCAGAATTCCACAGAGACACAAAGGGTTAGGTGGGATGGTGTGTCCCTGGCTGAACTTCAGCGTACTTAAGAAACACACATACCTTCCAGTATCGCAGTTGGTAGAGTGTTTGCCCCACATGCAGGAAGCCCTGGGTAACATCCTCAGCACCACTGTTCCAGGTGTGGTAATGCATACCTGCCATCCCAGCATCCAGGAAGTAGAGGGAAGAGGATCTGGATACCTGAGAGCCTGTCTTTCTGCATGCACCCCACCCCAAATGCATATAATGATGAAGCCCAATCTATATATGTGTTTTCACCTGCAAAGCCTCATTTAAATCTTACCACTTTTCTATCAGATGTGTCTCCATAGGTCTGTTTGTATGAACTAGGATACAGTCTCAGGGAGGCTGCTGCCTGTCAGGGTCCTCACAGCCGAATTAACAAAGCTACCATTTAAGACTAGTGCTTGGACTTTGGACTCTTACATCCTCCTAATGCTTACGTATTTGGTAAATTTGTTGTTTTCATTGCATGCTGGTGATGGTTGCTTTGCGTGGAACTTTCACAAAGGCTTCATGTAGAAACAGGTACATTAGTTGTCTATTTTTCAGGTGGAATACTGGGAGGTGAGACTCACAGAGCTTTGTTAGCGTCAAACAGTGAAAACTGTTTTGTACCAGTCAGACTTTGGTCACTGTGGTGGAATCCCTGACTCATACAACCTAAAGCAGGATGGGTTCATTTTAGCTCACGGATTCAGAGGTTTCAGTCGATGGTTCTGGTTGTTGGTGGAGGTGGCAGAAAGGAACCCCAGGCCTGTAGATATAACTGTCTTATTAAATGAAGAGTTGAAATGAAGAGCCAAATGAAGAGTTGAAAGCCCAAGAGGTCAGAGCAATAGCTAAGAGCTAAAAACCCTTTCTTACCCTTCACTGCCACTGCTGTCCTTCCCCTCAGAAAGAGACCTACTTCCTGTGTGTCTGTCTTTTTATTGACTTTCTGTTTTGCCTTCTCATTGGTTGTAAACCCAACCACATGACCTCCTCGTCACTGCCTTTCTATACAGACCTCCAGGTCTTCTATGGTTGGTATTGAGATTAAAGGTGTGTGTCTCCATGCTGGCTGTATCCTTGAACATGCAGAGATCCGCATAGTTCTGCCTCCCAAGTGCTGGGATTAAAGGTGTGCGCCACCACCACCCAGCTTCTGCTATGGCTTGCTATTAGCTCTGACTCCCAGGCAACTTTATTTATTAACATACAAATAAAATCACATTTCAGTACAAGTAAAATATCACCATATAGCCCTCTAGGATTGCTCACACACCTGGCATGCGGCCAGCAGGAGGGCAAAACTCAGGTGTGCACTTGCCCACAGAAGCAAATACTCCGCTCAGTGGAGTGCTCCTTACTGCCTATCATGATGGTGGGAGCCTGTGGCAGAAGTGACTTACCTCACGGCATTAAGGAAGCAGAGGGAGATGGTGGTGAGGAGCCTGGGGGCCAGGTCTAGCTTTCAAAGGCATATCCTCATTTCTTCCTTCCTCCAGGTAGGGCCCATTTCCTGAAATTTCTACCACCCCCTAACATAGCTCCATCAGCTGGGGATGAAGATTTCAATACGGGAGCCTAAGGGAAACATTGCATTACTAAACCATAATGTATTTATTGAACACTTACATGCCCTACAATGTCCCTC